CGTTGTGATCAGTGTATTGTTAAGGATGGATGTCAGAACGGTTACTGCAGTAAACCATTTGAATGTATTTGCAAAAAAAATTGGGGTGGACTATTCTGTGAACGGTATTTGTACTTTCAACTTTTTTTTTTTTCACCTTATTTTAAATGAGTTTTTTTTTTTTTATTTTCTTGGGCATTGTTTATTATCTTCTATTCTGATGGTAAAGAATTACAGAGACTTGGATTACTGTTATCATAATTCACCGTGTCAAAACGGAGGAAAATGTTCCAGTGGTGGAAAGGAGAATTACTATTACTGCAACTGTACAAACGGATATACAGGAAGAAACTGTGAATTGAAGGTGGATAAAAGTTTTTTACGGTTTCTACTTGTCTATGTTTCGTATGTGTTCGTTGTTCTTCTTTCGCTTCCACTTCTCATACCTCTTTTCACATTTCTACGTCACTTTACATCATCACAGTACCCAAAAAAGGAAAAGTGGTTTAACTTTTTGGACAGCCTGAAAATTATTATGTAATTTTTGAATGGGCACAACAGACTAATAGGCGTCTAATGACCTGGTCAACCATTTAAACAGTAATTATGTGTTGTATTTACAGGAGCAATGAAAGGGAGGGGGGCCAAACAATTCAATGATTATTAAACAGTGCAATCAAAAAAGCAGTTTTATTTTTCTTATTGTTTTATTAAAATCTATCAATATTATGATAAAGTTTAAGAAAAAAGGAGAAGAGTGAGGAAGAAAGAAGAAAAATAAGAATTGTGATTGCATATCATGTGGTTTATAGAATGAAATCAAAATTTTAGATAAATCCATGTGAAGACAACAGTCGTTGTGGTGCATATGGACATTGTTTGCTAAATAATCGGACAAAAGATGGTTATTTTTGTATCTGCGATAATTTACACTACGGCCAGCACTGCGAACAACAAATTGAGAATTTTGATAATAGCTTAGTTCCAGGATGTATGTGTTTTATTTGCACATTTTTTTTTTTGCCTGGTTCAATTTGCAGAGTTATGATGGAGTATAGTTTATGAAGACTGGATGGGCAAAACGTGTAAGTAGAAAAACGGCAAAGTTCTGATAGCCAAATTACTGTTCTGTGTATTTTCAGATCAAATCGTTCACAATCTATTGCCAAATGACTGTAGGCTGTCCGGTTCAAGTTTTATTCCCTCTGGTTACATATGGACTACAAACAACTGTCAAATCTGCAGTTGTGTTCAGGTAAAATCTTGTTGTGAAAACTACAAACAAGATCGGAAAAGCCTAAAATTAAGAAGTTTGTGGGACTTTGGTGTTTTTAATTTTTTCTGATAATGGCTTGGTTGGACAAAAATTTTAGGGTAATATTAACTGTGTGCAGAATAGTTGCAAAGAAGTTGGTTGTTTGTGTGGTTTAAGTAGCAGCTTATGTGGCAGATTTGAGGTAACCTGTTGATTTGTTTACTGCTATTTTTAGATTTTTAAAACTTTGAAAATTTGAATTTTTCGACTATTCTTATTTTAAGCTTTTTGATGAAACTGGATGAGAAAAATCATTTTACAGACTTGTGTAAAAAGTTTAAATGAAGAATGCCTAAAACCGCCATGTTTGTCGAAAAGTTGTGGTCGATGTGTTGCGTTGTCACAGGGTAATCGGGAGAAAGATTTAGAGTTCTGCAGAAGTCTGCGATCTGAGGACCACAGGAAATATTCAACACAATGCTCTACACTGTTTCTGGAAATCAATTTACAAGTCTTACATAAGGTTTAGTGTTCCCTTAATTTTGACAAAATTTGTTTCGTTATTGACAAAAAAAAAAAGCGATAAAAGAAGAGAAAAAAATGATTTTAAAATTAATTCATTTGGGTTGTATTTGTCATTTTTTGAAAGGGTGAATAAACGGCAATTTTTCTGTGCTAATTATATGGTTTGAACAAATGGAATTACCTCTGATAATTTGTTGCACCTTTTTGCTCTTTGTTACCAATATTGTTTCTTCTTCTGCTGCTACTATTTGAAATAGATTTTTTGTTTGACATTTTAGGGTACAACCACTGAAGACGTTTGCTATCATTTGATACATGAAATTGAACTATTTGGACCGCTAGGAGCCAAGTCGGTGTTACACTGCACAAAATTTGATGAGACGGTTGTTCAAGTTGATTTCGTTAGTCTTTTTCCTTCTTTTTATTCGTTTCTACCTCTGAATACTTCTTCTGTCA